AAAAAGCTGGCACTTGTCTGTCAAGCTGCCTTTTATTTTGCTTCAGTCTTAGAGATTTTTTTATGAAGTTTCTGATCTGATTCTCTAAGGTTTACAAGACCCCAGCTAAGAGACATTCCTAATAAAAATTCCACACAAGCAATGAGGAAAGTCTGCATCCTTCTCAGCAGAAGCTGCAAAAACCATTCAGTGGCAAAGCAGAATAATTAATTCCTGAAGTGCCCGGAACCTTCTAGTATCATTAACCAGAAATAATTTAACTGAGGACCAGGATATATGAAATACCTACCAGTATTTTCTGAATGAGCTTCTTTGGCTTTGCCTAGCTTTTGATAAGCTAGTAGAAAAAGGCATTTGTTTTCCACATAGAAAATGAAGTAATTGCAGGCCTTGGTAAACTTGCTGAATTTGAGATCTGTCATTTCTGGATGTCATTGTCATGACTCTTGACTTAAACACTGTTGGTGTTCCGCTGGGATGCTGGGAGAAGAAAAGTGCATACACTTCCTACAGAGAGCAGTGGTGCCAAACTCATCTTGTCCAGTCAACTATTTCTTTGTAGATTATTTTCCACTAACACATGGATCAGAAGAATTACATTCCCATTTCAAGAAGAGAAAGCAGGTAGGTAAGTGTGCTCCACCAAAATTACAGTCAGTAGGGAGGGCAGAGCAGTCCCTATTCAAGCTCATAGTCCTTCAGAGCACTTTCCCTGCACCATGAACATGAGAACCTCACACTTTTGACTTGTTCACTCTTTCAAAAAGTTGTGTGACAAAAGAGCCCTCAAATGAAGGATGCTGCTGTAGCAGTAAGGGACCAGGACCTAATGTTTTGACTGAAATGGTTACCACAAAGCAAACTCAGTGTGGTCACCCTGTGTCAGGGCCTGCCCACCAAACACAGATATTGAAGTTTTGCTGATTAACAAACTTGTAGAGTACTCTACCCCACTCCAGCACCATGATCACAGCTTACTTTGGGCTATTCTGCCACCAGATCTCTGCTGCTCCATCAGTAGCTGGATGTGCCCTGGCCCAGGCCTCCTCCAACAGACACAAGTGCTTCACAGCACTGGAAGTGTTTCACTGAGGCGTTCAGAAACACGCTACATTTTCTGTCAAGCTCTGCTGTTTGATCACGTAATTACAACCCAAGGTGTGAAATGGTCGCGTGGCTACATTTAAGAAGTAGTATTCTGCGTGAAAAAGGGAATAGCCATTTGCTGAGCCACAGATGCTTCATGGCATTAAAAACTTCAATGGGAAGGAATTAAAAAATAAATAACTAAGCACACTCCATTGCTATGCAGGTCATGCACAGCTCTGGGTTGATGGCCAGATCTGGATGTGTTCAGGAGGGGAGCCTGCAAGCAGCACCAGCCTGAACAGGCCAGCGGTCAGCTCCAAGATGCGCTAATGCTGAAGAAAGCATTAACGAAGATGGCCCCAGAAAACAGCTCCATTATACACAATTCCGTATGCATAAGGACACTGAGGCAATGGCTTCATAACAATGTGGTGCAACTAAGGCTTTCCTAACCTTTGCCTAAGGGATTGAACCTTTTAAATATACAGCTGATTCGATCTGAAAGCTCCTTTGTAAATACTTCAGCCAGCTGAACAGGCAAAAAAGAAGTTGAAAAAGAAACACTATCTTGAAAAAGCCTATTATAGAGACACTACCACAACTCAGGGGGAGGGAGGAAGAAGAATGATATATGTGGAATACCACCACTGCAAAAATGGAAAATACACTGTGATTATCAGATTTTTAGCAGTAGTAGTAGTTTTTATTACTATTCAAGGTAATGTTTCAGTTCCATGTGAACAAATACACATTTAAAACTGGTTGAGATCCAAAATGACCAAGAAGAAAGCATACAAATTTCTGTGTTAAGTTAGACTACCACACTGTAATGCCACTTGGAAAATTGTTTTTCCTTCCTCTTACTTGCATCCAGGACTGGTGCACACTCCCATCCTGGGCCTCAGTTTTTCTGTTGGCTGAAATGTCAACATTAAGTGATGCTTTTTGATCTCCTCCTGTGTCTCCGCAGCTTTAGACCAGACTTTGGTTAAAGAGCAGTGTCATGAGAACTGAGAGAGGAAGGGACAAGGAAAGGAAAGTTGCTCCAACCAACACACAAATTCTATTTTAGCATCTCCTCTGGTGCAGTGAAGAGGTAAAGCATAGGGTATCATGCAATAGGGGAAGAGAGAAAAGTAGGAGACCACAAAAATCTCTGCCAGCCTCAACTGTCAACGTACAAAAAGTTGACAAGGAAAAGGCTGCTAGAAAAACAAGGAAGTTATGTGGTATCTATGACAGTGGCAGAGGGGACAACTGTTGGGGGTGGGGGGAATGAATAGAAAGCAGTGTGTGAATCTTTAGAGAATTGAGTAAGAAAATAGATGGAAAATATACAAAGACCATAGAATCTGAAATACCAAAGGATTCATAGCAGGAGGATGTATAGCAAAGCATGGGCAAATACAGCAGAGGAAACAGAGAAACTGATTGTCAGATATAAACGATGGAATTGAAGAGAAGAGAGAAAATTACACACACAAAGAAAACACCATAGAAAATCTACTTGCACACAGGCAGTAAGAAGCAGGGGTATACTTCCGTTTCTGATTTTTTTTTTTTTTTTTAATTAAAAAGGTCTTTGTTTACTACTGTAATTTTAATTTTGATTTTTTTTCCTACCAACATCTAGGGAACTGTATGGAAGAATTAACACTTCATTGTGACTGTCCACAATTTACACCATAACTAAAGATGATGCTCAAACACATTCAGACATAGAGCCACCACATGCACCAAGACAAACAGGCAAACTACAAGAAGGGAGACTGACAAAAGCAGGGGAAGTTTTTCCTTTCTGACAACCCAAGCATTTTAAATGACTTTTTTCCCCCTCTCCATCCCCCATATCTCCTTTAACTTTCCTCAAGTGTATATTAAGCATAAGAGATAATTTTACCACAGATCACAGCTTCAGCATGGTTTTGATATTAGCAGACGTTTTGTTATAAACACTAAGCCAGTATTTTTTCCAGAGGAAAAAACTAAAATCTTGAACTTAGCTCCTTTCAAGCACTCAACTACTTTTCAATTATAAAGCTATTATGAGCCAAATTTGAAAAACATTCCTCAAAAAAAAAAAAAAAGTGTTTTCCTCTCAGAACCCTCAGAAAATACAGAATATAATATAGAAAGTAAAAATTAGAAGAGAATAAAAATATATACAGCCTTCAGAAGAAAGCAGATTTGTTCACAGGAATAATAATTAAGAATATATTTTAAATGTTGCTCTGGTATTCTTGGCTCTCCTTTTATTTGATGATCTACAGATGATCTTCTAGTTCAGAAGTAGTCTAAATGATGATTTAAATATCACGATAGAAGCCAAACATCTTAATTGCCTTACAGCCTTCTTGTTTTCATTTTGCACTTTGCAAAATGATTTTGTTTTCACATTATAAAAAGACTTGTTTCAAAGGGAAAGTTCATATTTAAGTTGGATTCTGGCACTCAAGAACACTAAGGGCAGGTTTTGACAGTCTCTGATAGAAATACTGGTCTAATGTCATTGAAGACAAAAGAATGACATAAAAATAGAATCCCCTCAAAAATCAAATTTTAAATACACATGTTTGTGTGTTTATGTATGCACACATGTACATGTCTGTAATCAAAAACTCCACCTAGAGGGAACTGCTGTAGTTCATTTAAATCACATCCCAAACTGGTCTGTTCATGCACCACTAGTAAATATATTTACTTTTATTATGATGACCTGATATTTAGCCCAAAGGAAAATGCTGACCTTTCAGAAACTAACTGTGAACGCACCACTAACCTGCCACCAAATAAAAAAATTAAAAAATTATGCAACCTGCTTTCATATAACATACATCGCATATAACAAAATTACTATTTCCAACAAACACTTCACTGTTGTGGACTTGGTCCTTCTCAACAGGAAATTCTTCTTGTAGAAATCTTTTAAAATTTGTTGTAAAAACCACACTTCTAAGTCAGCCTGTTTCCCTCCCCTTCTCACAGTGCATAGACTCCCTCTCCCTTCTGCAACCAGCAGGAATTCACATGTGGATTTTAACTCGTGTCAGTGCATATAAAGAGGTTGCCACTGTTTAAAATGTGTTTACAAGTGAAAAGAAAAGGAAATGAAATTGACTTCTATTGCAGCCTGAACAGTTCATCTTTATAACAGAGAAACCTGTAGCAATTAAGCAGTTTGCCTCTTACACTGAACCACACAACATTACATGCTATTATAAGGAGGCAAATTACTTAACCAAGCATTTCCATTTACTATATTACTTATTCTCTTTTTGCTTTGGAGAAGGAAAGTCAAGCAAGTCCTATTTTAAAACAGCTGTTTGAAAACTCGTTGTCCAGAGCAAAACACCAGATTTCATTTTAAGCTCACTATTGTTCAATCTTTCCTCGCAGTCTGAAGTTCACAGTGTGCCACTGCCTTATAATGACTCTCTGTTCCCAAAAGACTGTAAATGCATCTGGAGAAACTTCATTCTCCACCATCCATCCTGCTCTTTTCTGAGGATTAGCTATAGCATAATTGCTCTATTTCCACTACCTTACACTTGGTTATTAAAATGCTAACAGCTACCAGTTTTCAGCAACTCCATGTTTTAATATCCATCGAGGCTCTGCATGAGTACAGTAATTTGCCTTTATGATAAACTGAAAGATTGCAAATGAAATTGTACAACTCAAATGTTAGCTACACTGAAATAGCTAGTACTTAGTAACAATGGGAACATCAAAGTCTACAACTGGAACTTGAGAAAACAATAAAATAACTTAAAATACACTACTACAGATGAACTCAATACCTAAATATAGCATCTGTGCTATAATACAGCCTCTAAAGCCTCCATAGAAAAGTGACATTTCACTGGCACCAGTCTTGAACAACCACAGAGTAAGATAGAGTCATCACTTACTGGTTTAGCGTTACGTCCAGGATGAAAGACGACCCAAAAGCATCAACCTGGAAGCTGGCTCGAGCAATGTGTGTAGACTGCAAAATGGAAAAGACAGGAATTAGAATTCAGCTACAACAAAACATACATACAGTACTTTATTTGGATGTACTAAGCGACAACATGCCATTAACCAAATGAAACCACACTGAAATAGACATCATAGTCTATTAGAGTGAATAAAAGATCTGTTTGCTGAATCTTTGAGGCTCGTTCAAGAATTCCCAACACCACAACCTGTGACCTAGGAGGCTCTGCCTTAATTACGCCCCTACCAACACCATAGGAAATGTCTCTTTTCTTTAAACTCCCACCCTGGGCAAAACCCTGAGCAAACACAAATGGCAAACTGCCTCTGGCAAAGGTACTCCTCGTTCACCAGCCTGGCTCTGGGCACAGACCTGTGGAGATAGCTGAAATGTGACCTGTTCAGTCAGGCCAGGGCATACACAAGCCTTACCAACATTATTTGAAAGAAGCTGATATTTCTGAGAGACTACTACTGGAGCCATATAGAGAGGTGATAGCAGTGGGATAAACTCTGGATAAGTGTATTTTCTATGGAGCTCTGGCTCACTCAACTTTAGTCCTGTCTCCCCCAAAATGTTCCCAAAATTCCGACCTCATGAGCAATCATTAAAACCAAACAAAACTGGGTGCTAGAGAAACATCTCTTTCTTTACTCCTTTCTCTTTGCCGTACATTTCCCCTGAATTAATGGCTTTCATTCACTCTATAGCCAACAAACTTAAGAGTACTTTGTAACTCACCATCATCCAGAAACAGAATATTTATTCTAGTAGTTGTGAAAGAAAACACTCAGCTATCCCATGCAAATGCAATATTTGTTTCTAGACCTGAAAACTCCCAAGAAACTGACCAGTGATGTTATTTAACTAATTAATACGAAAAGCTACTTTCAGGCATTTTGGAGCAGCTTCAACTTTGTTTTTTATTTTCTTTCCATTCAAACCTGCCCATTAAGATTTGAAGCATGTAGACAGAGAGATCTAAAAGAAACACTGAAAAACCACTTACAACTCCCTACCACACTTCTCCAAATAAGTACAACAGAGGATAGTACAACTGTAACAAATGATTTGTTGAAAACTCTGGGAAACACAGGACAGGATGGGATAATGTGAATCATCAAATTCACTCTCTCTAAAACTGCTGGCAGGCTTTCAATAGGCATTAAATCCAGAAGACTTAAGAATATCAGCTTCCCTGGAAAAGAACAGCAACAAAGGCATGGAAGGTTGAGGGAATCATGACTTTTTTATTATTATATATTTGAGTTGCCCTGCAGTTGAATTTTCTCATGATTGCTACATACAGAAACATGAGCACTATTAATGAAAAAAGGATAACAACCATGAATATGTATTTACAAACAGTTGATTCCTAAAAAGAAAAAAAGTCAAGAAGGTTTTTCTTATTAGAGGATGCTTAGGTTGCATGCCATCTATAAAAACATCAAAGTGGCTGTGCCACTGCACTGAATGTGCATAAAATATTATATCATGAAAACTCACAGATATTTAAATAATGAGTTGGAAGGATGCAGTATTAACTTTAAAGGTTCTTAGAAGACCTCTTAGTAGATAAAATTCAGTCGGATATAATTTCAGCTATCCCTATTCCATCTAATCTGCTTTGTAACACAGGCCACAGTACTTCACTAAGCAGTTCTTGTAATTACTGGGTGATTTAAGAGCATCTCTTTTGAACAAATGTGCAATCTTTGACCAAGTAGCCGAATATAGTAACACATAGCTTACCTTATCCAAGTAGCTAATTTCAGTGATGAATTACAATCAATATTAAGTTTAATTTCTATTGGGGAAAAAACAGAAAAAAGAAAAAAAAAATCTGAAAACAAGAAGGAAGGGGGAGAGGGGAGTAATTTCTTCACATCACTGGTTTTTCAATCTCTTAATTAGAACTAAGAGATTCAAGCTAGTCCCAAATGACCCATGAGGCAGCTATGGGGCTGTGGTGGACACCCTCAGCATATACAGGCTCCCCATTAGGGCCATCACTTTGCTGCCCCTGGCCTGCCACAGCTGGCTTAACCACAAACACAGCAAAAAGAACTGTCAACAGACTGTCACGTTAGCATTGGCATTTCTCTTCCAACTCTCAGGCAGCAGAATTTGCTATGAATATGGTTTTCAAATTCCTCCTTCTCTTGCTAGATTTGAATTTTTAGGCTGCTGCTCATAAACAGGATATGACAGGCCAAGGACTGTATAACACAGCAGGGGCCAATGCCAGTTTAGTTATTCACATGTTCCACTGCAGCATGCTTGCCAACCTTAGGTAACCTTCATTTACCTATCTGCACAGCAACAACCACCTTCTGGTCAAAGGAATAATGCCAGCACAGCTGCTCGCTTTTCATCGTTACCTTATTAAATGCAAAGAACATTCCACAGAACTTTATTATTTCTGTTTGCTAACATCATAGCTACATGTGCCATCATTAGATATACGTATGCAGTATAACCAAATCTATATGACCATATGCTTGTACCAAAACGGAAGAGAGAATATAAAAAGCATAACTAATATTTCTAAATCTACATATAGTAAGGGTAGCCTTTGTCATAAAAAGTGTATTCACATACACTAATTTCATAGTAATAAGAATATAGCTGTAAGAGCATAGGGATTTTTGGTGGTTGATGGCTTTTCTATTTGTTTTTTTGTTTTTACACTGCTAGGTATACTGCATCATATTGATTTGTTCTGGGAAGTTTCTTCCTCTGAACATGTCTCTAAGACAAATAATTACAAGGCTAATGTATTTCTGGGGTGACCCTGGACCACAGCTATTCCCTGACAGAAGCCGTTAATGTGGATTTATGGGATAAAATGTCTATTAATAATTAGGCTGAAAAACATTACACATATGTAGCTACCCCCAAAACAAGTGGGGCAAACCCAAGAAACTCACCATGAAGTTTACAATCACATGCAATCAAGCACAACTCAAGTGTATCTCAAACCTACTGAGATGCAATGATGCACATTTTGGATACCGAAACAAATTCAGCCCTTTCCAGAAACTGCAGTCTACAGATTCAAAGAACCCTTCAAACCTGGCTCCAATCCTGCATGCTTCGGGCTACAACTGAAATCCTGATCCCCTCCTCTCCCCCTTTTTGGCTTGTGACTGCCCAGAAAGTCCGATCAGTGTCAAAAAATTAATCGTTACTTGGAGGGGATCAGTTTTCTGCGGGACAAATAAGCTGATCCACATAAAATATAAAGTCATATCATGCCTAGACATGATGGAAAGAAGCTGGAGGGGACATGCAGCCAGCAAATGAAGAGGAAGACGGATTTCCCTCATTCAATGACAGCTGACAGACTGCATTCAGCATAACAAAAAACTGCACCTTACGAGTAATAGCCAGTACATTTTATAAGATAACAGTTCTTCTGAATATCTGGTTAAGAGGTACAAAATATATAAATGGACTTTAAAACATCATGATGCTACAATATTTTTAAGTACATCTATACACCTGCTCAGTGAATAGGTTAAATGGCCAGCTGGAAGGGAAGCTTTGGTTCACAAATATGTGAATAAAAGAACCCAAAGAAAGAATATCAGGGTACATTTATGCCATCTCTGTCACCTCATTTGAGCAGAATAATGGGAAAGATACCTTCAAAGGCTTCTCTAAACCACTGAAGCAAGACAATTATTCCATTCAGTTTTCAAACCACGGAACTTCCTCAGAAAATTCAAGGCTTTTCAACATCCATGGATGTGACACATCAGCATCTGACAACCTAGTCATTTAAGGGGAGTTCTTGGAGACTTGGAGAGATGCACTAAATGCGGAATATGAACAAGAGCCAGGAAAGAAGAATCCAACAATAAAACGGAAAAGTGCAGTCTGTGCACCCAAAACAATCAAAAAGTCCTAAAGTGTTAATGTCATGCAACTGAAGAAGCAAAATGTCAATAACTACTCTCAAAATAGTTGCAGTATTTTCAGATGCAATTTCGAGTCGTACATAAAGTGTAACACCCCACAAGGTCCCCTACAGAAAACACTAAGCATCTTATGCATCTAATGCAATTATGTGAGAGCTAGCTCTGTCAAAGATTGCAAAGCTTAAGAATTTCAATAAAAGAAACCAAAAGTAAATGGAGTGGAAATGATTATTTCAAATAACTAAGCACAAAGATACATTATCTCCAACAAATATTAAAAGCTTGAACACTAAAAAAAATAAAAGTGGCACGCAAGCCTTACTGCCAAACCAAGAGGGATGTGATTCCAATTATTTTAAATCACATACTCTGTGCTTTAGGGATCACTGTAGTAGTAGAAGAGATGGGCAATCAGTCCCATGTAGGAATGTTTATTGCTCCAAAGGAACACAACAAAATAATGACAATTTCTAACATAGAAATGTAACCCTCCAGTAACCCTGTTGTTTATCAGCTTTCTGCAGAAACTGGCCCTGAAGAATGAGCATCTCCAGAGGAAATGTACATACACAAACTGCAACTAAAGTAAGCAAAGTTTCACCCGGAGCACTGTGTTCAGTTTTGGGCCCCTCACTACAAAAAGGCCCTGGAGCGTGTCCAGAGAAGGGCTACAAAGCTGGTGAAGGGCCTGGAGCACAAGTCTTGTGAGGAGCAGCTGAGGGAACTGGAGTTGTTTAGTCTGGAGAAGAGGAGGCTCAGGGGAGACCTTATTGCTCTCTACAACTACCTGATAGGAAGCTTTGGGGAGCTGGGGGTAGGCCTCTTCTCACAGGTAACTAACGATAGGACTAGGGGGAATGGCTCAAGTTGTGCCAGGGAAGATTTAGGTTGGAAATGAGGAGACATTTCTGCTCAGAGAGAGCAGTCAGGCACTGGGACGGGTTGCCCAGGGAGGTGGTGGAGTCACCATCCCTGGGGGTGTTCAAGGAAAGGTTGGACGTGGTGCTTAGGGACATGGTTTAGTGGGTGACGTTGGTAGTAGGGGGGTGGTTGGACCAGATAATCTTGGAGGTCTTTTCCAACTTT